CAAAAGTGCAGTAAAAATTTGAATTCCAAACTAAATACATTGAAAATATCCAAGGCTCCACTCTTTGGTACATGGAGTGGAGAAGCAAGAATGAGAGGGAATGAAACCACAAACAACAATATGGGTTTCAAAAATGCTGTTTGTGCATTATTCAGAGATGTGATCTGGTTATTCAAAGACTGAACTGGTAACTGGTTTATGTTTTCCCTTAATTTGCACTGCACATTCATAAGACTACATATAACATGAAAGGAAGAAAAATTTCAGGGGCCACGACGTTTGCCGAAGCAGAAACAGCCAGTGGCCTGGTCTTCAGGTATCATGCCACCTCCTTTGCTTGTGTCTATGGCATACAACAGCTTCACTACCTCTTCCATCTCAGGGCGTTTATCTGGGCTCACATCCCAACATTTTCGCATGATGCTAACCAATGCAGTCGGGCAACATCTTGGGATTTCTGGTCGTAAGTTCTGCCATCCCAGTATTAGGAGTCATCAGCATAAGGGGATAGTCATTAACATAGAAATGATAAGACAGAAAAGGAAGCAACGGTATACATTACAAAGTTACAACCAACATTAGGTGATCAACATAGTTTAAAAACCCAATATAAACAAGTTTTGCTGCATTAAATCCACTACTTCACAATACAAATGTGCAGTAAAATCTTGCAAAGAACCTAAAGCATTATGTGTAATGACAAACAAACCTGTCGCACTACTGCAGATGAGACATCAGCAAAACTTAGATTAGGATAAGGCATGTCGCAGCAATAGATTTCCCATAAGCAAATACCAAAACTGTAGACATCGCATTTCCTGTTGTAAGGCTTGCCATCAAGGACCTACAGAAATCTTCATGTTAGAATTCTGATCCAATTTGTAGGAAAGGCAAAACTATGGAATAAAAAAGAAAAGAAGAATGCTACTTGCTTCAGATCTTTAGCATGTAGCAGTCTTTGGATTGGTAACATAATTGTGTTTCTTTTACCCAGAAACCACCTTTATAGAACCAGACTTGGTATGATGAATGAAAAGTGAGTACCTCCGGGGCCATGTACCCAAGGGTACCAGTCTCTCCGGTCATGTCCCTTGGGTTTTGAGCTTCTACTCGAGCAACTCCAAAATCAGCAATTTTCAAAGTTCGATGAGTATCTAGCAACATATTTTCTGTCTTGACATCACGGTGTACAATTTTCTTTGAGTGAAGATAACTCAAACTGAGAAAGCGGAACACAGAACATAATCCATTAGTTTAAAACGCAACAAAAACAAACAATTAAATCCAGCGCAACAACAAATGAACCTGACTCACCCTTTAGAGAGATCCAGAGCAAGTTGAATCACAACCTTAAAGGCAAGTTTCTTTCTTCTATTCCTGATCAAAAAGTTCTTTAGCGTCCCACCTGGAACATACTCAACAACGACGCAACAAGCTCTGGAAGGAGGAGAATTATGACTATCATTTGATGTGCTTTTAGTAGGGATTCTAAGATTGGAAGTTCCCATTGAAGCTCCGACAAACTGTCACAGATACAATGAGTTGCAGTTTAAATAGAGAAATTTAAAACATATGAGAAAATAATTGAACATCATGTAAACCTGGTAAAGCACATTACATATTCTAAAAAGTTAAAACTGTTAGGACAACAAGGAGAAGACGAGATATCAACAAACTGCATCACATTTTTGTATCTGAAACTGAAAGAAACGGTGTTGAGCCTCATGCAACCGATATGACAATCAGCAGATATAACTTTTACCTTCGGAATATTTGGATGGTCAAGCTTATGCCAAACAGCAACTTCTTGCTGAAACGACACCCGAAGAGCAGCAGTTTCAGCTGCTGTGGCAATACCATCTTCCCCCCAATCCAATATTTTCACTATAAAATCAAGAATAGCAGGCCATGAGAACAATATGGATAAAAACAAAAACAGGATGATAAACGAGACATAAGACTTGCAATACACGAGCACACACATACGAAAAATCTTTGCTTTTTATCTAGGGAGCTGATTTTCTCACTCCTCTTATATCCACTTACACTCCCTTTATTAGAAATTGTATGTTCCCACACCTCTTTAGTCCACTTCCACTCCCTTTTTTGTTATGGTAAAAACTATTAAAAAACAAAAGGGAGTATAAGCGGACAAAAGGAGAGTGGGAAAATACCACCCTTTATCTATACTTATTCAAGCACACACATATATAGCTACTTTTCAGTAGTGAAGGTGTAACCCTTGAGTATAAAAACAATGAAAAATAGAAATTCAAGTCCAGCATTCTAACACTTCCTAATACGGATGGGTAAGACAACTCAAACAATATAATAATCGCTGGCATCTGTTATTAATAGTATACGAAACGGTTATAGATGATGGCCTATTGTGTACCAGCTCAAAATGTAAATTTCTTAATTCCATTTCATTTCTGGTGGAATTTCATTGACAACCAATAAACTAAGTTTGAAAGTCTAAAACTGAAACATGGAGAATTAGGTATGCAACAAACCCTGTATGTCATTAAACGCAATAAAGAAAAAATGGAAATCCAATTGAAGCCAGAAGAGAAAGCAAAGTACCTGCAACATCTTGGCCGTCATAGGCACCACGGTAGACAGTACCATAAGTTCCATGAGCAATGACATGTCTTATATCCAATTTAGACAAATCAATCTCCCACTCTTCCATCTGCTTGTGTTCTTCACTCTCCCTTGCCCAGCCCCTGCTCAAGTGCTTCTCTAACTGGATATCCCAGCTCTTAAAATCAATCTTATCCGCTCGGAAAAACACTTCTTGCTCAATACCTCCCACAACCTTCCCCTTTGAGCCAAAGGCCGTCTCTTCGGTGCTAGACTTTTCAACTCCCTCAGTACCATTTCTTGAATCCATTTTTACGAAACTCTGAACTCTAGCTCAAGACTCAAAGTTCAAAATCACAAAACAGAGAAACAACCCACAATTTCAACAATACCCATGAATGAAAATCAACCCAAAATTTGTTTGTGTTTATCAAATCAAAACTTGAGCACAAGGGCCAATCTCAAAACTTCAGTCTTTCTTCCCAGTCCAGTCAATCACACCCACACTCAAAAATTGAACTTTAGAAAAGAAACTGAAAATATAACAGACGCCCCAAAAATCCTGGAGCTGAAAAATCACACCAAGTCAAGAAACAAATCAGAGGAAGCACACGAAAAAAAAACAAAAACAAAAAGTAAGGGCAAAAATGAGTTGGGTATCAAAACGACTGATTCCGAAAAAAGGTTTGGTTTTTATGCGCAAAATTTAGTGGAAAACAAGAGTGATCCAATAGAAAGAAAATGGATAGAATCGTAAAAAGAAAATCAAACAGAATATAAACAGGTAAAAACGAGACTTTCTCTGGAAATTTACACGCGGGTCTATTGCCTTATATTAATGGCTGAGAAGAATCCTCTTCCAAATGAAATAAAATTCCCAACTTATACGGCGTTTATTTACCTTCCCGTTTTAACGGATTTACCGGTATTTTATGAATTGATTACGTTCTTGAGATGGTCCGTCCAAATATACAACTCTCCCTTGAAATCACCAAACTAGCTTTTGTAATGTATTATCTCAATTTTAAATTTTAAATTTAATCTAGTAAATGTCAACCAAAACTTTAGGGGTGTGCATCAGATTAATTTTGAAAGATAAGCTAAACGGAAATTAAATAATCATGGCTCAATGTCAACCATTTTATCCATAAATGGAAAAAAAAAAAAAATTAAAAAAATTTAAATTCTATCATAACAAGAGAAAAATAATGATAAAACTAGTTGAATTTTCGTAGTCATCCAGGACACAAATATTCCATATCAAATTCGTTGGTACCTAAAGTCCTAATTTCTGAAGCTAGTATATTCGGCGGACAACACATATTCCTTCCAAATAAATGCTCTTTCAATTGTCGGGTTGTTCAGGTTTTTATTTGTTTTCCAGTTTTTTTAATTTTGGGTCATCTCAAGCGAAACACATGTAAATAAAATCAGCTTCGACAAACTATTATATTTTCCCGAGAGCATTTTTACTCATCACCCTTTTAAACACTTGAGCATAACTATATTTCCAGAAATACAAAACAAAGAGTTAACTATAATTATACCCATAAACACTTGAGCATAACTATGTCACGTGTTGAGAATGGTGATGAAGTACACCTTGGATTAAGATGGTGAAGGTACACTCTAGATTAAAATGGAGATAAAAATATTTCCTATTTCCCCCCAATGTTTGAAGAAATGAAGGTGAAGCCCCCTGGCCCTAACCCATCAAATTGACTACCAAAAAGAATCAAGCCTAGCAACTAGGAGAAGAATAAATAAAAAGTCTAGCACTTTGGTTTTCATTTCCTTACCTTCTGAAAAATTACATAGAGTACTTAAGCCCCAAAATAAAAATGTTTCTTGACATCCAAGTTACATGACCAATATCATCCAACAACAAAGCTTCAATGTAACACACCAGAGCTCCAAACCTTTTTCTCAAAATAGAAAGTTGATAAATAAATTTTAAAAAATCGATTTAGGTGGCTCTTAGCAGCTACCGAATGATCGCTTCCCTTTGCGTCATTCGCATAATTAATCACTTAGGACCCCAAACTCGTAAGGCCCTACGATGCTAGAGATTCCTTTCTTCATAAATTTTATATAAAAAAAATTAACATGGAACTAGTATATTTGATCTACCATTGATGCCAAAATTTAGCTTGTCGTTTCTTTAGTGAACCTCATGGTAAGGGTGAAAAAATTTCAACGGTTTGACTGGAATAATTTAAATCCTGTGCAACAATAATTAGCTGTAATTTGAGAACATATGATATACCTTCGAACAGAGAAACTCCGTTGGGACAGGTTTCATTTTTTTAAAATTCGGCAGATGAATCTTATCCAACAGCAGAAGACTTCAAATGCATCTTACCTTAATATCTGACTGCCACTGATCTGGTACTATAGAGACATTAGCTGGAACATACAAAAAAATAAAAAGAAACCCTTTTTCCCTTGTTCTCCTTGTAAAATACCTGACAAATGTTTCTTTACAGCCTGAAGATGGTGAGATTTTATTATATGAAATGAGAATGACTATGCGTAAACAAGGCTATGAATTAGTTTCTTACAACAGAAATCTTGTCACCATTCCGATAACTCTCTCTGTTCAGGCACAACTTCAGAATGAGGCCGGCCCTTGTTAAAACGATTCAGAAACACTAGACTTGAATTATCACTCCTCCTGCACAAGCACATTATCTATTCAATTTAACCAAACATGAATATGTTGAGCACATTGAATCCAAGCAAAACCACGTTAAACCTTGCCCCGAAATTTTTGCATAGAGTATTGTTAAATGATGGTTTACTCTCAGAAATTTCTATACAAGGATCAGACATGAGTGGACCCCAGTATAATGTCCATGTGTACCTGACAGGCTGATGTGGTAGCTTTTAAACAGAAGTGTGACACACTTCAAACCATCGAGCCGTCTTTAATAAGAGGAGGATAAAAGAAACAGTTGGCATGTAATGTATGAGGACAAATGACACACCATATATGCAACCATGTTTTGATGATTATATGATACCAGCTTTTACGTTTGTACATGTAAATTCTATTTCAGTAAAGCTTCAATAACTCATATCAATGGTATTACGAAGCGAATTGCTGACCTTGATACTGAAGAGAATACCACCATCAGAAACCTGCTGACCAGCTGCTAGATGAAGCCCGCGGACATAGCCCGCTGATGGTGCCTTTACAACATGCTTCAAAAAGGAATTTAAAAAAAATTATTATTAAATTTAAATTTTAAAATAAAAAATAAAAAATTCATGTCAAATATTGCACAGGGAAAGAAAAGTTTAGATGCAAAATCCAAAACTAGCAGCAGTACAAACCTCCATCTTCATTGCCTCTAAAACTAATATAGGTTGTCCTTCCTCCACTTTTGTCCCATCCTTCACCACAACCTTGACAACCAAACCAGCCATGGGCGCAGCAACAGTCCCCTGAGGGTATGATGATTTGTCAAATCTGGGTTTATGTTCCGTTTCATCTTCATCAGACAATTCAAGGCCGGTTTTCTGCCTGAAATGATGATGATGTGATCCATACCATATATCAATGTGCTTGGTCTGATCCTGTAGCCCAAATTGGAATCAACAAATTAACAGAAGTTTTAAATAAAACATTGAACCATATTCAATCATGCTGATTAATTATTCTACGTAGACCTCACAACTGCATGCAGATAAAGGCATTTACCTTGGAATAAACAGCTAAGCTAACATCCATGTTTACACCATCAGCTTCGACTCTGAATTCATGGTTGCCTATACAAGTTACGTTGACCTCCAAACCTGGGAAACTCTCTTCTTCTGTCTGCACAGACATAAAGAAACTTTGCTGATGGAATGACTCAGTGGAACAAAACAAAGAAAACAACTTGCACATAAGATACTATAATTCCAAAGTTGCAAATATGGCCAATTAGCATAAGACTACCTCAATCAGATAGCTCCCATCTGGTTTATAAGTGGTTGAAAGTTTCAATGACTTTGAGCCACTGCTATCATATTCATTCTCCCACTCAAGTTCCACTGTATGCCTAGCACAATGATGGACTCTGAAAGGGGGAGAAGAATACCATATGGAGATTATGCTGTCGCCACCTGAACAGGGAGATATAAATATTATAAGGGCTTTTACGAAATGGCATACATTTGAAGAATGAGACCTACAATTTACCACGAAGATTTGCTCTGAATAAAGAATTTTCCTTTTCAATGAGACACGCAGCTGCCAGTGTAGCACTAAATCTAGCAGCACCAAGCACTTTCTCCACTAACAGTGAATTACTAGGGTCAACAAACAGGTCATCTTTAAAGTGTTCAATAAAATGGGTTTCCACATCGCCATTTTGAAATGCCCGATGGTTAGCAAGTTTTAGAAGAAAATTGATGTTGGTTGGTAAACCTGCAACCTGTCTAAGAACATTAGCATTGAAAAGGATCGAAAACAAATTAAACTGCAGGATCAATATGAAATTGCAATTTGCCTTCCACATTTTTCTTAAAGCTGTTTAAATTTTGCAGCCTTGTGGGCATCAGATATCTAACTCGCCTAATAAGATAGCATATGAGATTGAATGATTGGAAAATATGCTTTGATGTGCAGAGGATACAACTCTAAAATTAGGTGTACCTGAAACTTTGATAAGCAATCCTTCAGTTTTACCAATGCCGCAGCACGATTTTCTCCCCATACTACGAGTTTAGCAATCATAGGATCATAATGCATGCTAACAGTGTCTCCCTGTTCAACTCCAGTCTCAACTCGAACTGCTCAATGACAGATTTAACATAAGCAACCGACAGAAATAACCAAAGGACAAGAGATGATAATAAAAGCACTTGTTTAGTTGTGATGTCCTTGGATAAAACAAGTGGTGCTTAAACAATATAACCTAACTAGAATGTTGGGGATGGATTCCCTTTTTTCTTTTCTTTTCGGTTGACTGGGGATGAATTCTTTGCTTTACTATGTATGAGTCATATGGCTATTATAATGTGACTAACCTTGTGGTGAGACTGGAACATGATGATAGTGATGAAGGACCCCCGTTGCTGGAAGGAATCCTTTCGGTACATTTTCAGCATATATTCGGGCTTCGAAAGCATGACCTTTCATCACAATGAGTTTGAGTAACTATTAATTCCAGTAACTCAAGAAGTTTGTGGATTCAACATATAGAGTGAGTAAACTCATATTAGTTATAAGATTTTTCATATCCAAGTTATTATGAATACGAAGTATTCACTTTGTGTTATAAAGGAGCTTATTATTTACCTGATGAGATTCAAAAAATCTTGGCATCTTTTTTTATAATTTTAATAGCACAGCCATTTTAAGGCAAACTTTTCATAGAACCACCCAGAATATGTTACTCAAATCTGAATAGATCAACCCAGCATTCAGCTTAAAACTAGTCAAGACTCATTTTAGAAGTGGAATTGAATATGGAAGCAAAGATAAGCTTGGCGAAGACCTCTTTCTTGATTTTATTTTATTTTTCCTTTTCAAGAAAAAAGAATGCCACCTGATAATGGGACCTGTGACTGACTAATGGGAAGATGTTCACCGCTTGCAACACAAATCTGCCACTCTACAAGATCTTGGCCAACAATCATTTCAGTCACAGGATGCTCAACCTGCATAAACATTAACTAAAATGTTAGATTTTGATAAATTCAGACTGAAATACAAAAGAACAGAATGGTTAAAGCACCTGAAGTCGGGTATTCATCTCCATGAAATAAAATTGGCCTGAGACTGTATCAACTATAAACTCCACAGTGCCAGCATTGTGATAACCAACTGCCTTTAAAAATCAGACAGAGACTTCAAATCATAAGGAGATAGAGAGATTTAAAATTACAGGTTAGCTCAATGTCAGTAACTTTTAGCTTTTGATGGGGGCAAAACCCTCTATCATTGAAGTAGTGACCCATGATTAGATATAACACAGGTTAGCTAAGAATTATCCAACAAGAATGATGATCAGTAAAACCTTCACCATCTTAACCCAATCAGGTGCCAGTTGAAAATTAGGTACAAATTAGATAATTATTCAAAATACTTCACCTTGGCAGCAGATACAGCAGCTTGGCCCAAGTGAGTCCGGAAGTCATTCGACACATTTGGCTGCACCAATGGATTTCCATTACAACTCTACTAGAACAATGACAAATCTACACCGACAATATAGGAAATGATCATACAGCTGGAGCTTCTTCAATGATTTTCTGGTGTCTTCTCTGGACGCTGCAATCTCTCTCATACAAATGTAGAACCTTCCCATGTTTGTCCCCAAATATCTACAATACCAAACATGAGCTTAACTTTTTCAGGATATAGTATCTACTAGAATTACATCAATATAATGTTGATAATAAATGTCAATGATATCATATCAACTATGAAGTATTATGGGTTAGACACTAGTAAGAACTAGGAATTAACAAACAAATAAGAGTACCTGGACTTCAATGTGCCTTGGCTGTGTAATATATTTCTCCAGCAATATCGTGCTTATGCCAAAAGAAGCAGCAGCCTCACGTTGTGCTCCCAGGAAAGAGTCAACAAATTCATCCGGACTTTGAACAATCCGCATACCCTGGAAATATATCAACTATAAGAACATAGTGCGAAGAAATATCTAAACTATAAGAACATCTTGTGAAGAAAACAAAAATCTCTCAATTTTTAATCTAGTTGCTGATATCACTGAGGGAATCAAAGAAGAGGCAACCTTCCCTCCACCTCCATGAGTTGGCTTTATTAAGACTGGGTATCCAATCTTGTCGGCTTCTAACTTCATTAGATCAATATCTTGGTCTTTACCATGATATCCAGGCACCAGAGGTACCCCTGCCGCACCCATTATTCTCTTTGAAGCACTGATAAACACATATAGCATCAATAGGAATCAAAACATTTCCTCAGTGGACAAGACATTTAAACCATGCACAAAAACAGGGACTAAAAGATCAAAAAGACAGATAGCATATATTATTAGCTAATCAGTTGATACAATATTACATCAGTAAGACGGCAGTGAGTGGTACCTTTTATCACCCATGTCTCGGATGGCAGATGCTGGAGGTCCAATAAATGTAAGACCCTTATCTTCACAAAGTTGAGCAAACTCAGCACTCTCTGACAGAAAACCATAACCAGGATGTATAGCCTAATTATACAAAAACAAAGATATCCAATCCAATAAGCATGAAACAATCAAACAGTTTACCAATTCACCAATTCTCCAAACAGATAGCAAATTTGGCAAAACAAGTAAAAAGAAAACATATGCAAATGCAATGAGATATTGAGCTATATTGAGCTATGTTCACTATCATAAGCGGAAATTCTGACTGACCTGCGCACCAGTGCGAATGGCCGCGTCGATAATCGATGAGGCCTTGAGGTAGCTGAGCCGAGCCGGAGGCGGGCCGATATGCACAGCTTCGTCGGCCGATTTGACGTGAAGCGAATGCCTATCGGCGTCGCTGTAAACGGCGACGGTTTGAATCCCGAGCCTCTTGGCGGTCCTCATGATCCTGCAAGCAATTTCGCCTCTGTTTGCTATCAGAATCTTCTCTATCCTCTGCGGCTCAGAGGCAGAGAATGCTCTTACTGTCAGTAACTGGAAATGGAAGGGTTTGTGGGAAAGCTTCCGGCGGAGGATGGTGGCCACGGACGCCATGGTTTTGAGCTCTATGAGTGAGACGTAAAGTGGACTCGAGTGTAGACGGCAAAATGTTTTTCTTCTTGGTCATGTTATTATGAACTTGCGTGTAGGAAACTATATCCATAAATTTTCTTTTTTTATTTTTTATTTTTTTGGATAATTCACTGCTATTTAAATATTATTGTTTTTGTCTCGTCATATGGCAACCCATTACGTTGATCTGATCTGATGTGGTGCTTACTTGGCACAATTATCCGTGTGATATGATGACTGACACAATTCCATCTTGGGCCGTCTATTGCTGTGATTTTGGGCTTTATTGGGCTACTTATAAATTGGTTTTCGATTGGGCTGCTTGAAATTAAGTCAACCAATATTTTATGATTGGACTTCTAGCCAACATATCCAATATATTCTTACTTAGGAAAAAAAAAAAAGATTTGTTATTTGGTTTAATGTGTGTTTTTTTATCATTAACAAAGAGAGGGACTCGAATTCGGGTGTAAGTGATCTTCTCCAAGTGGCCTAATCCATGTCTGCATAATGCATTGTCTTTTGAATTCAACAATTGATGGTTCATAAAATTTGAACTCAAAATCCCGTACATCAAAGTGTTATAAATTTATTTGATGTAACGTTAAAACTACAAATTTTCACTTGTTTGATGTAAAGTTAAAAGAGGGTGGGGGAGGAAATCTATATATCCTTATGTATACAAATCTCTAAAATTATTAAAGCATTATTTTCAATAGTATATGCTATATATGGGCCATTTAGGAGATCAGTGGGTCATTTAAACTTTTTTGGTGTAATTGTATGTTGAACAAAATAACAAAGGTTTATGAAGAAATGACAAAATGCATGGAATGGCTTTTCTCCCAAGACGCCAAGGGGCAAGGCAACAACCTAACTAGCTATTATTATTATTATTTGTCATGGGCATGGCAAATCTGTCATGTATCAAAGCTGTTGGTGTGATTAAGACGGAGAGTTTTTTAAAACCAGCACGGCAGCACATGCATCATGAAGCTCTGATGGAGGAAGTGGGCCACTTGGCTCTCCCTCACACTTGTCCACGCTTTCACCTAACAGCATGATGGCAAATTATATGATAAAAAGCTGTTTGGAATCTATGATGCCTAAACCAATCCATCCACAAATAGATCTACAGTCCACTTTGCTTGAGGGCCCACTCCATAACTTTCTTCTTTCATTTCATGTTTTACTGTTCTATCTTAATCCGATGTTAAAGTAAAAGGAGGACATCCTAAGTTATGGAGGTTGGTGTGTGTAGGGTCGCCTTTTTGGTGGATGACAAATTTTGCATATAGGTTTGGTGATGCTACACACTCCGCTATAAGTTCCAACCAAATATCGGTACGTTTTGGTAGGGATAATATAATCTCAACATATTATTAAAGATATGCCGCGTTCTGTTAGCGATAATAATATCGACACATGACTAATGACATGTTGAATACCATATTCGGACTAACTTGTACTGTTTGGTTTCCAGTGATTCAGTTGCTAGTGACAAATGTGATCTCATTGCAAACTGAAATTGCAGATTCAAACTAATTTATTTCAGAGGCATGTCACATGTGGCTCGGTGACTTGTTTTCAAGTCATCAATTGCTCACAAGAAAAGCAAAACAATATATATAATATTAAATTTCCCCATGGTTTAACTTGCAAGATGAGACTCAGGCTCAGCCACACTAGAAGCATACAGGGTGACCCTAAACTTAGAAGACACCTCACCTCTCTCTCTCTCTCTCTCTCTCTCTCTCTCTCTCCTGCTGTCTTACATCATTTTTGACAATATCCTTCCTAATTAGTATTGTTATCTAACGGTCAAAGCCTGCGAGCTTGTTGTTGCCTTATTTGAGAGGCTTCTAATTTGGACACCTTTTTCTGAATAATGTTATTATAATCATCGACTACATCACATGTGTGTCAACAAACCTATTATTTCTTCTTCAATAATTCATCTTCAAAATGTCTTTTTCAGCATACAAGAGTCTAAACAATATCACTTCCCACTTATGTAGACTTTGAAATTAAAATCAACTAACAGCAATACAAGATAATGAAGGAATAAATCAATAAATTTTTATGGGGGTTATTCTGTTTCAATTTATTATATGTGGATGATTGACTGACGTTTTTCATGAAACAAGCACTGAGGTGGAGCGATCCAATTCTTACTGAAAATGGAATTGGACTAATTTCTATCAAATGAAGATGATAAAAACCTAATATAGAGAGTTGAACTATCTCTATCTTAAGATTTATTCTCATAGTTTACAATGGTAAATTATTTTATCGTCACACTTACATGGAGAGTTGGACTATCTATCTTTTTTTTATTTTTCTTTTTTTTAATTAAAAAAAGCATTTTTATCAATAAAATAAAATATTCTCACAATTAGTTGACATGGGATCAGCAAGGGAAAAAGGAAAAAGGTTGAGGAGCAGTACATCACTGCTTATGGAGGCATATGCATATCAATTATAACTATTGATGGGTGGACAAACCTTTTTTCAGGTTTCCTTTACTGGTGTTATGATTAAACCACGTTTACCTTCTTCTTCTTCTTTCCTTGTTTTTTTTTCATTTTTTTTCAGATTTCATATATTTTTTTACACAAATCAATTGTCCCATAACAAATTGAATTTCAATCGTTTTACAGGCAAAACAAACAGTTAATTTCTCGATTTACTCTGTTTGACATATTGTTCTAAGAACGACAAATATAAAATCTTTAATTTATTTATTTATTATTTTGATAGCTATAGAATTGGAGCATTGCTGTTTTATAATAAGGTCCATACATTTATATAATCAATTGAAACATAAAGTGGGTCAATTATTTGTTAATCATTTCACATCTTCAATGTTTCTAAGCATTCCCCTCTTTGAAAATGACTTGCATCCTATTTCTTTTTTTAAATATTCTATTTGTTCAGTTGGCAAGGTCCATGTATTGTGTATAGCCCCACTAGTGTTTGAGTCTCACTACCATACATAAATCCATACCTGAGGCAGCTAGCAGTTAGGTACCACACGTAAGTCCTTCAAGTTCGAGATTGTGAGTCTATCTTGACTCTAGTGGTGAGAGTTTCAAATCTTCTCATAAAAAAAAAAAAAAAAAAAAACTAATAGTTAATCTTTAATCCAAACAGTCACCTTTGAAGAGTTCGAATAAAATTAATGGATTTAAAGAGTCAATATTATCTTTATATGATGTCTTGCATTCAACATCGTGTCACTTTCTATACCTTTCTGAATATTATCTTTATATAATATTGTATAAGAGCGAATGTGTTTTTTATTATGCACAAGAGTTCGAATATTCTTTTCGTCAATAAAATATCACTTGTATAAAAAAAATTATTTCTAATTCTTAGTTAATTTTATTTTCAAAATAACCGACTCTACGGAAATTTCATTTTACATTCTCTCTATTTCTCACTCCTAAATTAGAAACTGAAAACAAAAGCATTCTCAAGCGATAATTGGTTAATTTTTTATATTCTAAATTGATTTACTTCACACGTAATAAATTACTTAAAAGGAATGAAATGTGGGGTATGCATCTTCGGGAAATACACGTGGTCCAATTTGGATGGAGAATTTTCCTAGTCGCGTGACGAATGCCAACCGTCCCTGCCCACCGCCCACCTTTGTGTGATTGACACCGTGTCATTTCTGCCAAGTGTCAAAGATTGTCGTTGCATGCTATTTACCATAAAGCCCTTCCATTTTAATGCTAATTGCAATAATAAGGTGCTGCTCCAAATTATCACATTTTTGCTTTAGACACCATTAAATAAATCAACGGGTATTTTACCAACAAAAAAAAAAACCAACCAACGGCTATGAATTTATTTAAGGTATAATTTTATTTCTGGTCAAATATTGAAGGGAGAATCAAGGATATCTGATCTTATTATAAAAGGAATCCGATTTTGTAATTTGAATTTACACCCACGATTTGATTCATTGTTATGGATAACTATTAATTTTGTTAATTTCTGGTTAATTTAATTGTACCAGAGCTTCTACTCTCCTAGACTCCTGGTAAATGAAATTTGGTCAAATGTGAATTGTTAAGGAAACTCGCAAATGTAGATTACGATAGTTAGTTAAGCCAATGTGTTCGCTCTCTTGTACCCAAATTCAAATCCCCCTTTTTATACATTATAATAGTTTGAAATATCGCTTTACCAGATGAAAAAAAAAAAAAAGTCATTTAATTGGGATAGTTTAATTTTGGTCAAAAAATTATATTCCACATTGCGTATAATATGTCACATAGGCAGATAGGCATTCTCGCATCCAACAGCATTTTTGTCTGGATCTACATTTTTTAATGCTCAATTGGTGTCATAGTCATATCTAAGACATGTCATGTATGATAGAATAAATATTTAGAACCTTATGGCAATTTTGGTAACACCATCTTAAAAACATGCACAAAAACAGAGTCAAACATCTGCAAACCCAAAGGAAAATCATTTTTGATATCCTAACCTAACCACATGGGGAGGATCGTAATTTCGCATGTTTTCCTTGAGAATCAGTGGGTTTAGTCTCAGGAAAAGAACTGGAATGCTCTGATTTTCCAAAAACCGAAAATGGAAATAAAATCTGAAAAATAAAGGATTAAAATGCATTAATTTCAATTAACGTTTGGGTCTTTTCCACCTACTTTTATTTTCTTTATTATTATATATATATTTTGTTTCATCTTTGACAGTTTGCATAAGAAAAAGCTGAAACAGTACCAATACCAAACCACAACATAAAGGCAAAGCAAACACAGTGAGAGAAACAGAGACATTCATTTTGAGACGGAGACCGACCGATCTAACAAACATGGGGTGAGAAAGAATAAAGCAAAAGCAGCTCAAGTTGCTTTGTCACTGCTGCTAATCAATCAAAACGCAAAATAAGGAACAAGGAGAGAGAGAGAAATAGTTTCAATTTCTTCTGGGTAAGTTTGTTTGATCATTTTGCCTGTATTTTTCACTCGTTCTATTCAGAAAATCGGTCCCATTATGTATATCTTCATGGAGCAATGTGTTTGTTTGTTTG